GCGGGGGCCGGGCCAGGCACTGTGGGGCGGGCAGCTTCCATTCCTCGCTGTGTCTGTGTGGGGGGCTTGTCCTGTCTGTCTGGTGCCCGCTGACCACGGCGTGCAGAAGGGGCTGTGCTGGGGGATGGAAATGCTGCCCCCCCTCCCCCGGCAGGTCCCTGTGCACTAGTGACTCATTACCAGGTAGCCCCCGGCGGCCGTAACAACCTGTATGGCAGCACCAGGGAAGGGATGAGCAATGCTGAGCTAAAAGCCCCCTCGCAGCCCGAGCCACGGCCTCGCTGCTCCCCAGATCCTAAGGTGCTGTCGGCAAACCCACGTGGATGCCGCCCCCAAAGTGCTCAGCGCCCCCCCCAGGCGTCCTGCTCCCAGCACCCCCCCACTCCCACGCTGCACTCTGTCTCGCACAATGTCGCTGTAACGTCTTGTTTTGGATTCTCTAGCTGACGCCGGCGCCTGTCTGCGAGATCTGATCGTTCTGTTCTTTTTCTTCCTTATTTTTCAATGTTTTTCCCCTTCCCTTCCACGTGCTGTGTCTCTGTCTCTCTCTCTCTCTCGCTCTTCCCTGTCTCTCCTTTTTACTAGTCCATGGTGGAAAAGGGATTAGGTTTACCCTTAGTGAAGAAATTTATCCTGAGAAGGGTACGTCTAACACTGCCGAACCCCAATGCACTGAGCACTCCCTCCGAACCGGCCGGAGCTAGTAACAGTCCCTCCGCCCCCGCTCGGGGAGCAAAGCCACGGGGCAGCGGGGAAGGGGTGTCGTGTGGCTTACAGGGGCTGTTCGTTCAGGGCTGGGCAGTGCCTGCTCTAAAAGCTGCTGGGGGTGGGAGGGAGGAGGTGACTGTGTCTGTCTTTCCTGCCTGCCAGACCCCTACCCTCCCTGTGCCCCATACAGGGACTTCTCCCCAGTCCCCTCCCCCCAGGTCGTCCCTGCTTAGCCTCCGGGTACACTCCTAGGCCCAGACGCGCCAAGCGCCTCACTCAACCACAGCTGCCCTGCTGAGGTGGATGGGCCTTTCCCACGGAGAGCTCCACCAAGCCTGGCTGTTTCTCGTCGGCTCACTGCTGAGGGAAGGTCATTAGCCAAGGGCCTGGCCAGCCAGGGGCTCGCTGGGTGTCTGCCCACCTCGATGGGCAGCCTTTAGCTCAGGGGCGCTCTAGCTCGACTCGAAGCGATGGGCTGGAGGCAGGAATCGCTGGGTACCGTTATACGGCCTGTGCTCTGATCACGGCGGCCTCTTCTGACCAGGGACCCTAGGGCTCGGGATTATTCTGTCTGCCAGGCCCCTGCTGGGCAGGCATTCACAGCACCCACACGTGTGTGGGACGGGAAAGGGAGCTCCCCCCACCCCTGCCTGCTGTGGCTCCAGCACAGCGTCCTCCCAGAGCCTCAGCCGCCCGCTGCCATGGACCCAGC